TATCAAAAGTGAGCAGCTTACACAACAAAGTAGCAAATGGAAGCCCTAAATCTGAACAAAGTACAGTTCATTTCTATGAAATTGTACAGTACATACACCAAAGTCCCCGTACACTTGTCATTGGGAAGTACGTAAGGTAAAGTCTGTACTCAAGTCAAGTGGCCCATGCGGCACCTCGAGTACAAGTCAGAGGTACTTGACTCAAAACACATGCAAAAACCACATGGGAGAATATTTACTCCCCCTCGACTGGATGAAAATCTACTGCAAGGTTCCCCCCCTCTCCCCCAGTATTTCATCAGGTTTCTCGGACAATTACTTGGTGTTTTGCACGAAATTATTTTAAGTTATGTAATATCCCTGGAGACATTTCTCTATAAAAATGAACATGAGTTTCGAAAATCGTAATGGGAACACAAGGTTAAAGAAAGGGAAAGGAATACAGAATTGTAAGTACAATTAGCTCAAGAACATTACGGCACAGTGCCTTAAAAGCAATTAGTGTAATTTGTTTATTCCAGTTTGACTTCACATGCTCATAAGAAAGAAGGAGTGCAGAAATAAATTTCGAAAATTTCCCGAGCTGTTAAGGTCTGAATACAAGTTCAATATACTTGGTACCCATTCATACTGAAGAGGGGCACTGTGAAAAGAAGAGTATTTTACCCCAAAAAACATAACACAATGATCTCGCAAGATCGTGAACCCAGAATGCTCCACCTGGAGTCCATTGCTCTTATCATTTGGTCACCATGTCTCCTCTGTCATAGGAAGAGTGGACATTACTTTTGAGACCAAATGATCTCTGGAATGAAAACTACATGTACAGTGTATAGACAGAACAGTTAAGCCAAAGAAATTAAATGAACCTACCAAAGCACTGAATTTTTGCTTCTGAAGATCTTACCTCTTCATCAGAAAAATCAAACTTGTGGATTATAATGGAGTTGACATTGTTATTGGATAACAAATAATCTGTTAAACAAAAAAAAGGGCAGTGCCTCTGATATCTACAACAACAGGTAATTATTTCCACTGACAACAATCCATACATTATTCCAAACTGAATAAAAAATTGAATCACAAAGGTGAATCAATATTACACTTATTCAAAAAGTACAAACATGGCTTGTGCATCTTTTTTAAAAATTCTCCAAAATCCAAGCAAGAACTGTATTTACTTCTGTCGAAATTTTTTATAAACGCAAAGAAAACCTATCAAGCCAGTTTATTTTTCAACTTGTCTAATGAAAAAACAAGGGGCACCATCACAATTGGCTTTCTTTCCTAGCACTTGAAAATAACTAGTAGGTCATTCTTGATTCTCACTAATTAAAGAAAAACATGTCTCCTATATTGTAGATCTTTCATCGACCAAGCTTGTTCTGTCACGGTGGTAAGATATTAACCTCATTCTTTTTTTATGGATCTTCACTTCATCTCAGTCCACAAAAACACAAAAAAAAAAGAACTCAGCCAATATCCAACCATCTTGACCTCACAGTTGGTCTTGGTCAATAACCCATATATCTTATCTATAGAATGAAACAAGAAATACCATTCTATCTACTCACACAAAGATGTCTCATTTCTGATGTTTTCAAACAAGATACTCAGAGTCTGCAGCAGCTGAACACAAATCTGATTGGATTTCTGACTCATCATCTTTAAAAAATACAGCAACATGCTTTTCTCCAGGAAGAAGCTAAAATCAGTCACAAACAAATGTCATAGTTAAATACTATTACTACCTTATCAGCATATCAGCATGATCAACAATAAAGGCATGTACAGGCAATAAAGTTAGAAATAAACCTCTAAAATTTTCCTTACTCCAAAACTAGTGTAAGAAGGTCAATCTATTTCCTTACTCCCAAACCAGTGTAAGAAGATCAATCTATCTAGCTATTGTTAGACCTCATCTGGACTATGCTACACAAGTTTGGGCACCACAATCTATTTTATCTTATCTCAAATCTAGAGGAGATACAGAGAAGGGCTACAAAATACATCTTGAAATTGCCATTCTTGTGCTCTCAGAATTATGAAGAATGACCAAAAACTCTTTCCTTACTACCTAGTAGCTACTGGTATGAATACTTAGATATGTATAATGCATGATCCTCGCAGTAGATAGCGCTATTTATGCTATCATACGTATCTAATATCGCAGTTCAAAATATATGAACTTCATATATTCATTGTATCTCAATACTTAGATATGTTACTGTTTTTTAAGATTACCCATGGTTTGGTGGATATAGACCCCACAATTGTTCCTACTCCCCGTTCTACCAGACAAACACGATCATCGGCCAATACAACTGTTACTAAGTACTTTGTACCTAAATGCAAGACCTCAACCTTTCAACGGTCATTTACTGTACAAACAAAAAGAATCTGGAACACATTGTCTGACGAGCTTAACTTAAGTATGAACAATGTGAGTGACTTTAAACGTGTTTTGATGTGTTATCATTTGACCGCACTTCGAGAGATCTATAACATTGACAATCCCAGGACTTATAAAACTGTTTGTACAAAATGCAATTCATGTCGCAGCCTGAAAACAACACTAACTCTATGTTGCTCTTAATTATTAATTATTAATGTGATCGTTTTACCATTTTAATACTTTTGGGACCACAGTAATTGGCTATCGCTGTTGTGGTTGCCTGCCTGTTATTGTTATTGCTATCTTATTTTATCTGGCTGTGTTATAGGTTATATGTATTGTTGGCAAAGCTAATAAAATAAATAACTATTATCTTGAAGGCACAGGTTGGAATCCTGAAAAGAAGCCTGAATCCTTTTGGGCTTCTTTTCTACAACTGCTTATTAATACATAGCTCTCCCCTGACGAATTTCATTTGATTGTTGGATTTCTATTTACAGGTCAAATTAAATTTTCAAATTATTTGTCTCCTACACTTTACAGAGAAATTCATTTTTTGATGTTTTGGGAGTGTTGTGGAATATCACAATATAAGAGCAAAATTGTCTTTTATTTTCAAATGGACGAACCTTGTGTGTACATTATTAATATTTATGACACAATGGTTGCAGGAATTTTACTGATAAAATAGTAACCCCGTGGGTTATGTATATCTATCAAACAGTACAATTTACACACAATATTCTAAAACTCCACATTTGTATTCCCAGGTACATATATATAAAAATTGTCTCTAAGTTATTACTTTCACTCAGACAAACCTTCCAGTAATGTTATTACCACAAAAATAGTAACTTGTTCAAATGATAATATATACTTATCATATATAACTATACATATGATGCACGATCCTCGCAGTAGAGAGCGCTATTTATGCAATAGCGAAAATCAGACCTGAAAAAAATCAGGCTGAAAAAATCAGACCTGAAAAAAATCAGGTTGTACGGGATTCGAACCACTGACCTCTGCGATACTAGTGCAGCGCTCTATTACATAAATAGCGCTCTCTACTGCGGGGATCATGCATCATACGTATCTATAACCGCAGCTCAAAATATATGAACTTCATATATTCATTGTATCTGATATATAACTATCATATCAAACAATTTACAAACAAAATTTAGAACTCAACATTTAATCTTGAAACTTAAATCTGATGTCTTAAAAAATAGAAATTAAAAAATTTTGTGGTAGTAAGACATCATTGATAACTGGCAGATATCAACACAAAAAATGAACTGCATATTCATGAACAGATAAGAAGTTCATACAAGAATGACATGTGCACAGGGCAAAGTAGCTGACACTCACTACTTTTTACAGACATTTACAGAAAACCATAAGTGAAAAAATAACATCACATTGCAGCTTCTACAAATGTATCCTAGCAAACATTTTACAAAAGCTTTTCAATAATATTCAAACATCTATTACTTTTTGTTAATAATTCAGAGCCACTACTACAGTATATCATGAGATAAATTTGTAACCCAGTCACAATTTACACTTGCAGTAGTTTTATCATCAAAAATAGTTATCTTGTGATTAATTCCAGTCCAAAGATCAAATTTTTTATAACCTTTGCTTTTTTAGAATTTCTCCTTCAGATTCAATATTACCATAAAGATGCTAACTCAAAGAAAGCAACAATCACATTTGCTTCAAATATTCAAACCACATAAAAAAAAAAAAACAAAAGGTTCTGCATGGTTAGATACATATAATGCATGCATGTTTGTTCTGAAATAGATCATGTTGTTCCCAACCAAAGCATCCAAGATATTGTGTATTCAGCTTTGCAACATACGTATTTCAACTGGATCAAATATCTTCATAAAAATAACTCAAAAGCATTTAACTGTTAGTATTATCATCAAATCAAATGTATGAAGCTCAGAAGAACTTACTCAAACACTCTGCTGTCATTTTGGTCTCCCCAAATTAAGATCTCCGCGATTGAGCGCAAAGTCTCCACAAGTAATCCTCTATTCGTCTCATTTACGGTAGAATTCTTGGTAAGAACGTAATGGAGATATCTATAAAACAACACAGCATTTTGGTATAAGAAGCTGAGAGAGAGTCAGCGATTATTTACAATTTAATAATAAACATAGAGACGATTGTGTAATTATTCACAGTCTTGCCTAAGGAAATAAACTCTTACTGTAAATGATCAATAATAAAAACAATAAATTGGTCGTGTGTCTACTTAAACTGTTTGCAAACACTTCAAGACAGTACGTGTACTTCCTTACGTTTCACAACATCTTGCTCAGATCTATTAAACCTTTGAGTACCTTAACTGCTCCAAAGAATGTGCTTTTTTGGGTTTCCATAGCACATCAGAAATCCAGTTCTTCTGACGCTGAAACATTTCACCGTCCAGCTTGCTGTTGAAAGTAAAACGTCAACAAAAAGACAGGACACACCACCCCTTGTAAGGTGTTATTCAGAAAGGATGGGAGACATGTTTGATTTTCGACCGTCCACGTCACGTGATGAAACCGCGATTGGCCAGCTGAGAATTGGCATGTTCTTATACAACGTACTCTTAAAGGTTAAAGGTTTGTTCTCTTCGTTTCTGAAATGATTTCGGCTTGAATAACTTTGTGAATCGCGATCCTCAGGCCTAATTATGTCCCAATCAGGAGATCGTCTAAAGCAGTTAGAGGAGATCGAAAAGGTTTGTACTGATTTACAGTATAGAAATAAAAATTTCGCGCCCTCATTCAAACCGCATGATTGACTTCATACATCTGAACCTTACTGAAATAGTTTTCACTTTATCAATAGGATGTTGTGAAAGTAATAAGGAGTGCAGGAGAAACCTTAGAAGAACTTTCAAAAGACGCACCTTCAGAAGATCGTATAAACTCAACGGCTACGAAGTTCCTAAAGTCTTTAGAGGTAAAACTTGCAATCCTAGAACCTATTACAATAATTGTACTTATTTACATGTTAGTATCGAAAGTGATCCTGGGTCGCTTTGGTTTTGCTTTACTTCGCCCTGTGATTGGCTCAGAAAACTCGTGCCACCTCCTCAACCTATCAGATGCAAACTGAAGCCAATCACAAGTTTTTCACTCGCGTTTTCCCGCGTTTCGAGAGGGTTGCCTGTTTTTAATTCACTTGAGTTCTCATTGGCTTATGAGGATGTTAATAACCTTTGTTTCTAATGGTCCTTGTTACTACTTTGTCTCTGATTTCCGACACTCATTTGAAAAGTACTCTATTGGTACAATGGACAGCATTGTTTTTAGGTATCATGTTGTCTTGATATCTTTGATCAAAAAATCAATGGGTATTTGACTTTTTGAGATACCTATGGAAGGGGGAATGGGTGTTGAGTTTTATCTATATGGTTGCAATGGAGGTGTAGAATTTCTACATGGTAGGAGAGGGGTGGGGAGATTTAACAGATGCTTGCTAGTGTGTCTACACATTTGCAAATACCTTGAAGTTGATTGAAGTCATTGCAAAGTTTTTTAAGGCTAGAGGGCTTCAAAGAAACCTGCCCCTCTGTTGTACATCATTAATTAATTAATTAATTAATTAATTACCATTTATATAGCACAAATTAACGTTTGGATATGATCAAATGCACTTTACAATACTGTGTGGGGGACTTTACCAGACTGCCAGTGGCAGTTTACAATCAACAAAGGTGAATTATTTACAGATGCCCCCTCCCCCCAATTCCCAGTAAACAGGCCAGACCACATCACAGTAATGTGATGTGGTCTGTGATGTGGTCACAGTAATGGTTTTAAAGTAGCTTTTTAAGAAATCTATTTCAACTAATTTGCTTGAGTAAATGAATTTTTGTGGTATTTTTATAATAAGGGAGTGGAAAAAGGCTTAACTGAACAGATTGGTTACCTCACTCAAGTTGCCACTGGCCAACCACATGAAGGATCTACTTATGGAGCTGAAAAGGTAGTAACTTATCTTTCTAATGGTAACATAAATGTGTGGGATAGGAATCTTGTTGTCAACAGATTACAAGCCTTGTTCAGAGATTGTATCAACCTTTTCAGTTTTGAATCAAAGTTTAGTTACTAAAAGGTTCAAACTTTACTTCAACCTTGTAACCCACAATGCCCTTAGATGACCAAATGTATTTTGTAATTGAAAACTTCCCTTGTTTTTACCTAAAACATTCAAATTAGTTTTCTTTGACTCATTGGAGCCATCAGGCCGTGCTAAGTGTTATCTTCTTTCTGTATTACGATTAATTTTTGTCAGCCGTCTAACTGACATGAAGGGTCTTGGGTAATGTATGAGGTACTGTTTCTCTTTTTCCAGGATTTTGAGTTGTTACGCTGCAGAACAAAAGCTATTAAAGATCAGTTGGTAGAGATTCAACATCAAGGGACACATCAAGTATCAGACATGAATTGATCTTCCACACTGAACTGATGGTGCCTGTGAACTTCAGTCTTGAATGAATCTATGTGCTGCATTTTAGATGTAAATAGGAGAGAAAAGGCAAGATGTTTTAAAAAGTCAGTTGAGTGGGTGCAGAAGTACCAAGTGACTTTTGATGCCTCATTTACTTCTCCCTTTGTTTCACAAGGGAAAAACAGAAAATTCATAAGGAGAATCCAGCAGTCCATCAAAAGAAATTCTGTAAAAAATAGTTGTAGGTTAAGGAGTTACATCACAATATGGTTGAATCTCCCCTTGTGTCTTGTAAGAACGTTAGATAGGGAATGCGATGGGAATGGCAAAAATAGAAAGAATACAAGAACGGCAGCAGTTGTCTAAGAAAAAACTGGGGGGGGTGGGTAAAGAGGAAGAAGATTTGAATGGAATGCAGTTCAGGAGGAACTTGCAAAACTCAGCCAAAGTTATTCACTATTGAGAATTGATAATCCACATGCAATTCCAGAGCATTTTGGGATGGTGAGGGAACAAGGTACAAAAAGTCAATAGGTTTCTTCAGTCAGCCAGTTATGTGCTTCGTAAGTACCTGTCAACCACTTCCTTGGCAGACCAAGAGAACGTTGCATTAAAATGTTTTTAATCCTCCTCAAAAACTTTTTATAATTGGCTTATGTAGACTATATTTTTCTGCAGTTGAACTTCGCTATTCAAACTGTCATCCTAGCTTCATTACGAGCAAGCTAATACGGTTCTCTAAGAACATTGTGTTTCTCATGTTATCAAATTAATACCTTATAAGAACATTACTGTCATAAGTTATGTATCAATTAGCTCCTCGTTTTTTTACTCTTGACTACGAGACGGATTACATCTTGCCACTCTCAGAATTGTGACACACACTTCGTTGGAGTTTACCGATTTATAGGAATGTCAAACGGCGGAGCGGTTTGATACGTTTTATCGGCATAACACTCATTAAGATACCGTGTAGGTAACTTTAGAAATAGTTTCTTCTAGCTACAAGCCATCGCTAATAACTAACTTAGATGCAATCGTTCGTGACTTTAGAGTTTTTAGAACTATTGGAAATTGGAAACAAAACCTTTCAAAGCAATAATCCCGATAGTTCTCGTTTATGATTCAATTATTTAACTCTGTACTCCGGCTTTCAGGATCACCTCCAGCGGACTGTGTGACGAAGAAAGAGTTTGTCCTTTCCTTAGTACGTTCAACAGACATTTTCAAACCTCGCAATCTTCTTAATTCTTTGGCTTTGCTGGTAATTACATCGTGCTTTTCCTTAACTTCTTTGAACTCCACTCGGAAAGTCTTAAGGTAAAATCGTCTTTCATCTTCAAGATGTCGTAATTCTCTTTCTAAATAGGTATCATAAAGTCTGTTGACTTTTCGAACATACTCCTCCGCGTCTCTCGACTTTGCTGTCATTTCTGTGAGAACTCCGCAATCGTGAACTTCTTTTAAGATTTTCCAACAAAGCTGATAATGTTCTTAAGTGAAATCCTCGCTGAGATTATGTTTTTGTTCGCAACTGCACTACAACATCGAAAAGTTTGTGGAAAACTTAGAAAATTAAACATAGCCGTCCATCTAGGCCTGAAATTAAACTTTTCTTTGCGAATGGTATTCATGGCAACAGTGATATTGATGCTATAGCTGAATTATTTATCTGTACGTCAAGCCTCACTAGTGTTATTTCTCTATTGCACCTGCGACCACATCAGTCTAAAATTGTAAACAAAAGAAAATTAGATAGAGCTCACCTATCGATTAATACAGTTCCCGTCAATAAGTATCCACTCAGATCTCTGTAGAGATATATCAGAAAAATTGAATAGGTGTTGAAATTTGCATTTCTTTGTCAGATCGGCGGTATTTTTGATAAATAAGATTCTGAAGAAACTGTGGTGTGCCTCGGTGGGAGAATCTGGTTTTATCAACTAAGTTGATAATGTAAATTGCCTATTAGCCCTTCACGAGAGCGAATAATGTGTGTGATGGTCAAGTTTTCTTTTCGGTTAATTTTATTTAAAAAAAAAAAGGAAAAGAGAAGAAAACAAATACAGGAAGCTGCAAAAAGACATGAAGTTGTGCGGTCGGCATTCTAATGAAAAGGCTTGGAGAAATAAACTGTATTCAGTTGATGAAACGAATTCTAAAATTGACGAGCCTGTTTGATAAGACAGTTAGCGGATGATTGCAAAACAGGGAGGACATATGTGTTTCTTGTTGTTGCTTCTTTGGTGTTTTCTCGCTGAGATTCTAAATATAACGGGCCAGTTTGATAACACCCTTTCTCTTCCAGGTATTGATCGATAAGGAAATACTCCTTACGATTGGAATACCTTGCCAAAACTGCAGGCAGGTAACAATAATTAACCTTTACAACAAAAGATCAGTATGTATATTCTCCATACTGTTCACTATACGCTTCCCAAAGTGCTGACAAATGTTTAATTATGAAGCAAATCTTTAGTTGGTGATCATTTCCTTTATTCTCATGAAATTAATTCGTTAATGAAATTATCAACTTCGGATGTTTCTCGATCGAGCACAAAATTCTTTTCTCTCGCTATTCACAAAGTGTATGTTGACAACTGTAGTAGCTCACGAGCGAGCTTTCATTCACCCAGCGGCACGCGCGGAAAAGCGCTCCAGCGAATAAAACCATGCGCGCGCATGTGACAGCGCAAATCTTATTGGCTAATGACGTGCACACGTTTGCCTGTACTCCACTGTTACGTCACAGAAAGAAAGACGTCAGCTTCACAAACTGATTACTCTGTCCACATCTGTTTTCGCGAAGAGAAGTTCTGTCAATCGTATCAGTGAGTTACGGAATCTCTAAAGGAAGAGATGATAAACTTCAAAGGTAAGTTTCAGTTTCTTGTTTAACCACAATAGTGGAGAGTACCCCACAAAGAAACGCGTAAATGCAATTTAATCTGAAACTTTTTTCACCTACAAGTATGTCATTCAGTAACTGTTACTCTCAGGTTTGGAAACTACATCTGTAAGCTAGTTAACTTTCATCATCAACCGTTTCAGTGGATACAGACTTTTTCGACTCCTAACCGACTAATAGTAACAATTGACCGAGTGCCCGATTGATAGAACGCGTTTGCAGCAACTGAACAAAACCAAAATGATCACAACAGCCAATCAAAAATAGGCCACAAGGAGCCAATGAGAATTATCTTGAACTTCGTGAAGCGCGGGAAAATGACTGTGACCTTTGATTGGTTGCGTGGATGGGGGCGAGTTACGACACCAATTACAGTAAAGCAAAACTACTGCAATCGCAGATTAATTCAAACACTCTACTAAAAATGCTCAAAACCATTAACCACATTTAAACACTCAAAAGCCTCAACGGAACGGAGAGTTTTCTTTCCTTTCCACAATACGTTTCTTTTGTTTTCTTGTTTTTTGGTTCTATTTTCCCATAATATTTCGTTGTCTGCATAGGAGGGGTGTGAGAATTGCCTCTCACCTCTTCAGAGTTGACGGAAATGGAAAGAAACACAGAGTAAAACGAAAATTGAACGCATAATATTCCATTTTAATTTCCTAAAAGCAAAGGTAAAATTACGATTCACGTTGAAAATTGCATGTTCCACGACGCAATGTAAAATCTGCAAAAGAAACTCGCGTTTCGGCCAGAAAGTACAACATTTAGTGGACATTTCTACAGCTACAGATAAAAGCTACAATTTACCGGTAAATCAAAGTCTAACTGGCCAATCAGCGGACAGTTCAAGACAGTAATAAGAGTAAAGCACACTACACACTACGAAGGTAATAAGGATAATAATCAAAATTTTCTGCTGATACAATGAAAGCTTCCTGTTTGAATTAACTAAACAAGGCACCAGCTTTACCTGCTGCGGCCTTTCCTGAAATAATCCGGATCAATTTGAACTCCTGGGTTATCTTTTTCACTTGTGAAGAGAAGAAAAAATATCGCTCGCTGCTCTCGCTCGTGGGAAAAATAAAGGACAACTCGGCTATGGGGCTATTCTTCCACTTCGATAATCTCCTCTTTGATAAAGAACTCCACTGATTCGTCTTCAAACTCTTCTGCGTTACTATCAATCTCGTCCGTATCAATACCTACAATGAAAAGAAAAATAAATCTGCGTTAGTGGTCTGATGGCAGTTAGAGCAACAACAAAGCGATTCGAGAACCAAGAAAACTTTAGCCTACATTTGTGGAGTCTGTCATGGGCATATCGTTTCAACCGTGTCAATTCTAATTATTGTAGAATAATAATCAATCGCCTCAGGCAAGGAATTCGCCGAGCTTCCTGGGTGAGAAGCCCTCGTAGTTTCCAGTAACACACCGCTATTAAGCAGGAAGGGCTGTACCCAGGAAAAGGTCAATGAATTCCGCGTGGTTTGCCAGTCTTAAGATCCTTATTTATTACTCACCGTTTCGCAAGTCTAACCGCTGCGCCTTCTGCTGCGCAAACTCGTTGTTTTTCTTTTGCCTGTAGCCCTGAAAGTCTTTCATCTTTCGCCGCCGCCTTTCAATCAACTCCTGGAGGAAAACATGCCAAAGATGATGCGATGAGTTTAGAAGAAGCACTAAAGTTAAGAGCTCCCTTTTTTCCCTCAGAGTTCAAAGTGAAAAAAAAAAAAAAATCAGAGGAAACGATCTTAAACCGCTAAAGTTAAGCCTGAAAACCGCTTGGAGAAAAAAAATCTTAAAACCTGTCGCGTGGAATTAAGGATGGGCTTAAGAATCACGCACCCCTAGCCCCGAAGACGAACCTCGCGTTCTACTCTTCCTCCAGACATACACCGTTTGCAACCGACATTAAAATGTCACGCAGCGATGCCAAGATGGAGGTTCCTGCCACTAGAATTTTTTTTACTATGATAACCTGAGTAATAGTGGTTTGCAGTTATTGAAATGGCTAATGATAAAATAGTTTTTAATAATTACTGTATCGAACGCTTTTGTGCTATTTTAGTAAATTGTTTGGTAAATCCAAATTCCGTGGGAAGATTGAGCAAAAAATCAATGTTACTTTATTCTATTTTTAGTTTTCTTTCGTATTTAATGCACATAGTTGTTCGTAAGTGTCTAGTTTCGACACACGTTCGTTCAGGAAGCAGAAACCTGAAACAAAATTGACGGCTTGAAATGCGCTAAATTTCAGGAAAAAACACAGTGGATGAAGTATGTATGTATGTTATTGTATGTATGTTATTGTATGTATGAAAAAAATACAACTCCGTCACCCTTCACAGAAGCTGTTCCTCACCTTAGAAGCTCGTGATTGACTCATCCGATCCTTGATCTCGAACATGCGCTGGAACTTCTTAATGTCTTTCTTGATATTCTGAAAGAGAAAATAATTAATGGGGTAAACGAAAAATTCAACTTGGTAATTTCCAAAGAAAATCTTCAGCACATCAGTTTTGGAACTATCGACCAATAAAAGTACCAAGAAAAAAAAAACAGGAGACCATCGACAAGGAACAGAGATTTTATCTTTGTTTTGGCTCATTCAGAAAATCGATCCTATACGAAGTTTACTTTTACATGAAGGTAACAGTTTTCGGTACAAAAAACATGATACGGAGAATGGCCCCCCGGCCTTCCTACCTTCATATCGTCCTCTGAGAGGAGACTAGGGGGCCTGGGCCTCCACTGAAGTTGACAAAACTGATCTAATGCGTGACGTTGAAGAAGCTTGCCTTGGAATGACCAGATATAGTAACCATTATCTACCTACAGAGAAGATAGAAATGACAAAACATCATTATATAAAATTGTAACAAACGTGAACGGACAATGCCTACATACCACGCTTCCCTAACACCTTGCAATGACACATCAAGTGCAAGAGAGCTCTTTTCCCACTTTGAAAACACGTATATCACCCAAACTACCTCAAGTCTGTTGCAGCCTAATGGCAGAGCATTTGAAGCAATTATTAACCAGAGCGTCATAGATTCGACACGTTGTTGATGAGTATGGTCTACTTGATGAGTATGGTCTACTTCTGTCAGCGACAGAGAAGTGGCACAGTTTTGTACCAAAAGTACTCCAAAACTGATTTGGTTTTGCATAACTTGGCTCAGTGATTAGTCCACAAAACTCACACCCCCTCCTCGACCTATCAAATTCACCCACGTTTTCTCGCGTTTCATGCAGTTAACCTGCTTTTACTTTACGTTCTCATTGGCTAACGAAGAAGTCGAGCGTCGTTCTCATTGGCTAACGATGAAGTCGAGCGTCACTCCCATTGGCTGTTGTAACTATTTTGGTTTTCGTTATTCGAAACTCAAACTCTCTGGGACCACATATTCACTGAAAAATCTCCTAACCGTATCAATTGAGAAAAAGGATGACACAGTCGCTCTGATTGTTCAAGTGTGTTGTAAACCTTAACACGAGTGTCTGACTACTCCACAAAGCTTGCACCGAAGACCACGTTCACATTTTATATTCCTCCCATTGAAAACAAAACCACCAATACAACTAAAAAGCGTAAGTGGTGTTATTACATGACTCGGGCAGTCAGAGGGCCAATAACTAAAATCAACCAATCAAAATGCTCTATTGCCGGTCAATATTCTCT